GAAGCATTGGAGCTTTTGTTGACAATGTCTTTCAAGGCACTCAAAAAAGCCTTCTGGCTGGTTCAGATCATATGATGACATTTGGCTGCTGTCGCTCTTCTTGGCATTTTGTGTGAGCTTCATGTTGGTATTGCGAATGCACACCTCACCTGCAAGGCTTGGTAGCTGAGGCAAAGTCTTGAGACATGGTGCATCATCTCCATAGACCTTCCTGATCCATTCATCACCCATGTCTTTGGGAGAGTCAGGATAGGTCTTGCATGGTGCCACATTGGACTTGACCTGGCTTGTCTGAAAGAGCCTGGTGAATTGGGTGGTGAGCATGTAAGTGTAATCACCATCTGGCATTTGCATACCATGCCACAGCATTGACTGCACCAAGAGTGCAACACAGGATCTCTTGGTATCTTCTTCCAATGATGTAAGTCCAATCATTCGAAGTCTGGCCACAACTATGTGTGGAGCTTTAGAGATTTCTCCAGTCATAAGCTGTTGTAGCTCATCTTTGGTGAGGTAGGCAGGCACATTGGTCAGTGACTGTGGAGACTTCACAATCTTGGTTCCACTCTGGCCTTCCTGACTGGAAGCTGCCTTCTCCATGAGCTTGTCTTTCATCCATTGTTTCTTCTCATCATCTAAAGATGATTTCTCTACTGCTTCAAGCATGGTCACAAAGTCTGATGCCATCAAACCTTGACTGCAAGATGTCTTTTTCAACAATGCAGTCACAAGACTATCCTGAAGTGTTTGGGCAGCATTGAAAGAAAGTAGCTTCTCCACATCTCCCAACTCAGCCACAAAATCTTTGGCTGTCCATGCCATTGGGGACACAGGGTTGTCAGTTGCACTAAAAAAACTTACAATAGTGAATATAGATTTATTTTGTTTTGCTCATTGGCTATAATGATGAACTTGTGTTGAATACACACCAGCATGAAAAAAACAATTGCCTTTGAGCAATGGCAATTGCACCAAGAATAGCATTCCAACAAGCAATCACAATAGCCATTATGGCTCCAACAGCCTACCATGGTTTCAAGCTCACGCCATCAACAAAGCCTATGGCTCCAAAACAAATCCAACAACCAAAGCCAATGGCTCTATGAATGTTAAAGAGCTTACTGCCTAGCACAGCACTCAATCAAGAACAATCACAACAGCCACTGTGGCTCCAACCCAAGTCCAGCTCACCAAGAAAAAAAGAAAATTATGCTATAAACAAATCCAACACTAAAGTATGTGGCTCTATGGGTATACAAAGGTAAAATATAGATTTATATATATTATTAACTTAAGTATAGTCTATCAACAAAGCATGTTTAGATATAATTTTTATAAATATATTTATTAAACTATATTTGTTTTTCACAAAATCAAAATACATACATATTGTTTAATTTGTGTTAATATTTTTCTTAAACAATTACTAATTTAAATCTAAGCATTATGAAATCAAATTCAGCCCACTAAATTAGATTTTCAAAATTTAGATATCTAATTCAGTTGAAATCTAATTCAGTAGGCTGAATTAGATTTTAAATTGTTTGAAATCTAATTCAGTAGGCTGAATTAGATATTTGCTGTACTAAATATAATATAGTTGATGTATACTATTACATATAACTTGTAAAACAACTAAAAAATAATATTAAGCCAAGATTCTCATCTGCTCCAGCTCCAAAAAAGAAGAAGAGCTTATCCAAAGGCTCAGTGATAGGGAAGCAGTTGAAGAAGCATGACCATTTTGCCTGGTGGAATGGAGTGTTCAACTCCTCCTGCACAACTACAGGTGCAGCCATTGCCAAATGCTCCCAAGTCTATACAGCCAGTAACCTACAATGACAAAAAAGTATCATGGGCATGTTGCTTATGTAAATGTGTGACTTTTTTGGTTATATTGAATGATATTCTACAAGTGGCTTGTATCATTGTTGTCTATTTTTGACCATCTCAAAAAAACAGCTGCAAATATATAAAGATAAACAATTTGTTAGCACACAATGATCAAATAAGTGTCAAAGATACAATCAGCAAACCAAAGCCCTGATGGCTCCAGAGGGTTCCAAAACAATCAAGCATCTTTCATGCTCCAACTGGTATTTTCAACCACAAAGCCAACAAGGCTCAACAAACACAATAATATACATATACATGGCCCAGCACTCTGTAACCTTTTCCTCAGGAAGAGTGAGGTGAGAAGAGGTTGCCTCGTCCTGGCCCCATGGATACATCCTGTCATATCCATTTGCTCTCAATGTGGCCACATGGTTGTCCACCAGCTGCCTCATGATAGGATCTTGTAGGTACCTTACATCTCCAACATATATATATAGTTTATATGTTCAATTGATTGCACCAACAATGAGGGAAAATAATATAAAAGTTTTATAGCTGTTATAATCACCCAGATGCAGTGTCACCAGCTCATCAGTCTTCTGCCAATTCTCTGTGATGTAGGCCTCAAATGCAATACATTCAATGGAACAATGTCAAAAAAGCAATACTGGCTCTTAACCACCTCTCAACTATACAACTTGCAAGGGACAAGTCAAAAAGCCATGTTGTCCAACAAACATGTCAATGACACATACCAAAACCAAACAGCCACAATGGCTCCAAGTGGTATGATTTAGACCAGGCACTCCAATCAAAGGGACCATATAATTCTTCCAGCCAGATGGTACCTTGTTGCCTGACTGTCCTGCCATCCACATGGCACTGGCACTGCCCTTCTGGCCTTTGCCACCCTCATGCTCCACCTTCCCTTTCCCATAGGGTCCAAAGTCAGGTGCTCTTGGAGGAGGAGGTGGCATCAATGGTGCAGGCACACCTGATGAACTCGCTTTGGCTGAAGTGCAATCCTGCCAGCAATCAAACAAAAAGCCTTAAACATGCACCAAAAAAACATTAAACAAAATAAACACACCATCACCACAGGTAACAGTGCAGTATTTTTTGTAAAGCCACACCTTGGCCAATTCAGCTTGCGCAATCTCCAGCTTCAGCTGATCATTCTCAGCCTTCAGAGCATCATATTGCTTTTGCAATTCTGCATACATCACTTGGCTGCCCTTGAACCTGCCAACCAAGGAGTGGCTCATCTTTGCCACAAAAACAGTGGCAGAAGTGAGGACCCACTCTGCAGCCACCTTGCTGTTGTGAGGGATGAAGATTTCACCTGAAGGAGACTTGTCCTTGTCGAGGATCTTGCAATAGCATTCCATATTGGGCCAAGCAACCCCATCTGAAAGACATTGTGCACTGATGTACCATGCAGCATTTGCTGGGCTGCACCACAACCATAGATCAGAGTCTTTCTTCTTGATGGCCGGAATTCCATTGATCAGGGCATCTGCCAGCAGCCAAGCCCCTGTGAGCAGCTGTGTAGTCTTCCTGAGCTGGCTAGTTACATTGGTTCAACATTAAAAGGACATGTCAAAAAACAATCAGCCACTTTGGCTCCAAACATTAACCAACAAATAATCTTAACCACAAGCAGCCACCTTGGCTCCAACAATGAAACAAGCAACCTACATCACCTACAAGCAGCCATTCTGGCTCAATGCTATGTGGTGAACAACTTGTGTCAACCAGCCATTTTGGCTCCATGCTATGTGATAGACAACTTGTAGCAACCAGCCATTTTGGCTCCATGCTATGTGGTAAACACATTGTATGAAACACAGACAGCCATTTTGGCTCCATGCTCTGTGAAAGCAATTTTTTTCAACAAGGAACCCTATAGCCATGCTGTCTTGCTCAAGGCTTTGCCTTTGCAAACTTTCCAGACTTGTAATAAGTCCTCTTACCAGACTCTGCACAGTCTGCACAATCATGTTCCAAAAAGTTGAAGCAAATCTCCAGATTGCTAGGCTCCATCAGGATGGCCACATCAGAGCGCTTGCTTGCAGGCCACAAAACATCCAATGTCCCAGCATCATTTGGCAAAGTAATTTGCACAGAGACTGGGTGCTCTGCAGGCCCCATTTTTTTTATGTCTCTTCTTTTCCCTTCCATCATCTTGAAACAGCTCCTTGTCATCTTCATTACCTTGGTCTTGGTCATGTGGCCTCCCAAAGGTTGCTGCATGGACTGTGCTCACCAAAGCCTTCATGTTGGTCCCCCCTGCAAGGGACATGTTTTTTTGTTTGGTGGCTTGTGCAAATCAGCTTGGTGATGGCATGATGGGATGCTCTTATTTTGAGAAAGCATTGCCCACCAGCAGCCACAACCACCAAATCCTCAGGGATGACAACAGCTTCACCTTTCCATTTGATGCTCCACAACTGACCAATTTCAACTGCCATGGCTGGTTTGCAAGGGACAACTGTCCAACTACAGGATTCCTTGAAGAATCTAAGGCCTCAAAGTGATATATGGCCAACCAACAGCCCATTGGCAAGTACTCCAAGAAGCATGAGGGACCCACAAAGACAAACAGCCCAAGCTCCTTTTCACCTCATGCAGCCAAACTGGCTCCCTACTCCAACATTGATTTTTTCATCTTGCAAGTGATCAGTGCAGGGCTGCCAGGATCCTACAGTCCTAAGACCTCTTCTTTGGCTTGGGATCAGCCTTGCCATCAGCTGGGCGCTTTACTGCAGAAGATTTTGCTTGCTTCTTGAGCAAGCTTTCATGGGCACACAGCAACAAGTCACCTGGCTGTACTGCTTTGCAGTTCACATACACAGGCAGCTCAATGCCTTGCACAGTCTTCTTTGTAAGCTCCATTGTGACAAGGTCTTCATCTTGTGTGGCTTTGACATACCAAAATGGTATGAGCACACTCTTCTCATCAAGCTTTTCAAATTCTGAGACAATCTTGGGTGGGCTGATGACAAAATTGCCAACCAAGAACTTTGCCTTCTCCTGGTCTTTTGCTTGGCACAGGGTTCCATAGGGCTTGAGCACCAAAGCACCTTCAGCAAAAGCCTTCAGGGAGCAAACCCCAGGTGGGTTGGACACAAAGCCAATAGCTTTTGCATTCACAGGGCTGGTGATAAAAGCCTTGTGCAAAGAGATCTGTGTTTGATGCAAGAGGATGCTGTCTTGGAGGGCAGTAGATGTGTGGCCCAAATGTTTCTCTGCAACCTCTGGAGGTAGCAAAGCTGGCATGGGCTTCTTGGTGTGCCTCCACTCCTTCAAATCATCGCCTAGAGGCACTTCTTGCACATTGGCAGAGCCAACAAGGGGCACATGCTCAAACCTGAGTTGCTCTTCCAATCAGTTGTACACCAAAGCACAATTCCAAACTATATGTCTAGGCCTATATGCCTTACATTCAGAGGAAAAAACACGATTGGAAAAAGGTTGGCGGCTGGAGGGTTTGCATTGGAAGGCTTACCATCAGACAAGAAGCTTGGCTCCAGATTGCTGCATATCTAACAATTTGAAGATGGTGGCACCATGGTACTTGGCATTCTGGTAATGCTCTCCCACCTTCAAGTGCTTATGCTGGAGCAAGGCAATTTCTGCCTCATTGGCACTGAGCAAATCATGAAACTCCACCTGGCTGGCAGGAGCTTCCTTCCCTGGAGCATCTTTGCTGCTGCTGCTGGACCCAGGTGGGCAGAGCATTTCAGCTGCAAACTGATCAGTGATTTCCTTCATATTCATCCAAGGCTTGGATTCCCTCCCAGCCTTTTGCTTCTGGCATAGGAATAGCACAAGCCTGATGCAATACCTGCCAAAAAACACCAAGCTTCTTGCGTTCTTCCAAATGGCCTGCTTTCTGGACAATTTTCCACCCATCATGGAGCAACAGCTCAACTTCCTTCAGTGCATTGCTGCATTTGTTCTTGAGGCGATCAAAGTCACCCTTAACAAGTAGCTTGCTCACCTTGTCAACAACTTTGCTGGCGCTCAACTGGGTGGCTACCAAGGCCACCCTGAAGCAAGGAAGCACAGTGCCTTGCAGCCTGAAGTCATAATGGGTCACCATCCGCATAAACTCTTCTCCAAGCAAGGCACTTTCACCATATTGCTTGCTAAATGCCACCAAGAAATCTGCCATGGGCATTTCCTCCCCTCCAGTGTAGAGCTTTGCAAAATATGCAATGGTGTCAATGTACTCCTTGCATTGTGGCTCCCCAATGCATGTGTCAGCAACTGCCTGCTCAACAGGCTTGCCCAACTTAATGCGCTTGCTGATGGTGGCCAGGCATTCCAGCTCTGTAGCTGCAACTTGA